TTAATAATGACAGTTCCCATATTTCTGTGCTGACCTCTTCCATGCAACCTTTTATATCTAGACAAAGGATCATGCCATAAGTGTCCAGAAGACCAGTGGCCAAATGACAACAACAAGTGTCATCCAAAACCCGTGGAATATCTGTCCTACAAGAACAATACAATAACACTTTTGATTTCCATCATCTCTGTGATTCTTTTTCTAAAAACTTCTACAATCTTGGGAATCTTCATTGCATTTCGGGACACTGCATTGGTCAGAGCTAATAACCAAAACCTGAGCTTTATACTTCTGGTTTCTATTATGTTGGGTTTCATCTGTGTGTTTTTGTTTTTGGGCCGCCCAGTACACACAACATGTATGCTGCGTCAGACATCATTTGCAATCATCTTCTCGGTTGCTATCTCCTCTATTTTGGCCAAGACTATCATGGTCTACTCAGCCTTCAAAGCCACCAAACCTGGAAGTCCCTGGAGGAAATGTATTGGAGTAAAAATCCCCAATGGTGTGGTTTTCCTTTGTTCTTTCTTTCAGGTTTTAATTAGTATCACTTGGTTATCTTATTCTCCTCCATTCCCAGAACGAAACACCCACTTGTATGTTGACAAAATTATTATTCAGTGTAATGAAGGCTCTGCGGTGGCATTTTCCATCCTCCTGGGTTACATGGGACTTCTAGCAGCTGTGACTTTCATTGTGGCTTTCCTGGCCAGAAATTTACCAGATAGTTTCAATGAAGCCAAATACATCACCTTCAGCATGCTGGTGTTCTGCAGCGTCTGGATCGCTTTTATCCCAGCTTATATGAGCATTACAGGAAAGAACACTGTGATTGTAGAGATATTTGCTATAATTTCTTCTACTGTCGGAATTTTGGGTTGTATATTTTTTCCAAAATGTTATATCATATTGCTGAGGCCAGATTTAAACTCAAAAAGTAACTTACTAAACCAAAAATGTCAGAAATAACTTTGATCCATTTATATTTATATAATATAGCATGAATTGTTGGCCACTATTAGTACTGAGATTCATTAATACATTCTGAAAAGGGGCTCTAGATATCTGTCCTTCATCCCTATGTTAACGTGTATGTACAGATGGGCAATATGGGAAGAACACCAATGTTACTCATTCACACAAAAAATAAAAATTAAATAGTATATACACACAGACATGTATATTGTGTATATGTTTTCTTTTTTTTATTAACCACTTGAAGTCCGCGGTTTTAAACCCCCTTCCCATCCAGGCCATTTTTCAGTGTTCAGCGCTGCAGTACTTTGATTGACATTTATTCCATCGTGCAATGCTGTACTTAAATATATTTTATACCATTTTTTGGAGACAGATAGAGCTTTCTTTTGGTCATATTTAATCACCACTTGGGGGTTTTATTTTTTACTATATTAAGGAAAAATTACCGAAATTATTGTTTAAAAAACAGTTTCCACTTGATTACAGGATAAAACATTTATTTTTGCCCAATTTTTTTGTAAAATATAAAAGACGGGGTCACGTCGGGTAAAAGGACACCAAACATGTCAAGCCTTAAAATTGCGTGCGCGCGCTAAACCTCAATAAACTACAAAACCTAAAGTTGGCCATAGTTGACACTTTAAAAGCTTTCACCGCTCATCAGTTTAGTGTTATCAGGGATTGATGGCCCAAAAATTATTGCTCGTGACAGTATGTAACATGTGTAGCACAATTGTCGTTTTCGCGCGCTGGTGCACCGGACGCGTATTTACGTTTATATGTGGGTAAACGTGGGGGACTTAATTTTTTTTTTTTTAAAGCTCTTTTTATATGTGACTTTTATTTATTTTTTACTCTTTTTATGTTGTTTTACACTTAATGCCATTGCTATTACATAGGGGGATAATAATTCCCCTATATAATAGCAAAGGCACACTGACAGGTCCTCTTTATGGAGACATTAGGGGTCTCTAGGACCCCTAATGTCACCTGGGGACCGCAAAAGAAGCTGATGAAGCACAGATCTGCTTCATCAGCTTCTTCTCTCTGGCTATAGCAGCCAGATGACTGACAGGTGAATGCGGAAGTGATGTAATACACATTACTTCCGCAGTCACAGCACGGAGGGAGCTCAGCAAGGAGGAAGATGCTGATCTCCCTCCCATCTTACCTCCTGACACCCTCCTGAGCCAGTCCCGGGCCGCAGATACACGATCGGCAGGCTATAGAGCCGCCGATCGTGTGTATGTGAAACAGCCGGTAGCGGCTCTTTACATCGGACGGGTTTTTTCTGCCCATGCGCGCGTGCGAGCAGAATAAAAATGCCCGCCGTCTCATGAGGGCAACACGCCAATGTGAGTCTGCCGTCCGTCCGTTTTTTTGCAACGGGCGGGCGGCAAGTGGTTAAAAGAAAAGAATAAAAAAACTAAATTATGTAGAAATAAATGTAGAAATGCTACAATAAAAAATTATAATGGCTGGAAAAATGTTCACATGGGAAATGACCTGGCCATGAACTAGAGAAATGGGCTTTTTTTGCAATCTAGTATGAAAGCAGTTCAAGAGTAGGGATGAGCCTTGGTTCAGGTCACAGAGCTTTCATCAACCCGTAAGTCTGAATATTGCAAACTTAAATCTAAACCCCACTGACATCTAACAATAAAGCATATTTTTAACCTAAAAAAGCACTAGAATTATGCCGTGACTACATGCACAGTATCTAAGCATGTTCAATAGGGCACATTTGGATATTGACAGATAGAGCAATCCTACAATATAGTATATTTATTTGACTGAAAAAGACCTACAATACACTGTAGGCATTGCGAGCAATGTATTTAAGCACTTTCTTTTTCAACAGGACCAACACCAGCAAGCTTTTAATTTAAAAAATAAACAATATAATTGATTTTTTCAATGGAAAAAGCCACCAAAATATTGCAGTGACTATATGCACAGTATAAGCACTTTCGCTAGGCCGCTTTTTGAATAGGATAATGCACCTTGTCCTTTTGCTGATGCGGACGAGGGTCTCTTCCCCACAAGCCCTGACCGGTTGGTTGTGGGGGTCTGCAACCAGGGGTGCTTATTTGCATCTGGGTACCCCATTCAATAACACATTCACTCTGGCGGTGACATCACCTCTGGCTCCACCTATTTGTTTTGATTTGGCCAGCATCTGTCATATTTGTCGGCCAAAATAAAACATTTCGGCCGGCCCTGCCCATTTGTTGTCATACAATGACAAGCTACTAACCCCAAATTACTTCTATTGACAACAAATAGGTGGAGCCGGCCATGACTTCATGGCCAACTCCGCCCATTTGTTTTGATTTGGCTGGGACCTCAGGAGACCCATCTGAAAGGTGCCGAGCAAATCAAAATAAATAGGCAGAGCTAGCGATGATGCAACTCCATTCTCCCAATTTAGTCTGTGTCTTCAGCGGAGCCCTTCAGCTGCCTTGGACTGTTGTACAGGCTATTGTGAATAGCTAGTACAGCAGCCCTTCGGTTCAGCTGAACCAAAGGGCTCTGGCAGTTGATATGAGCTGAAGGATTAGCCGATGCTGTGGCATAATCCTTCGGCTCTAAATCAGACAAAACTGCAAATGGTAGGGACCCTACATTATTATTATTATCATCATTATTATCATCATCATTATCTACAGAATATTAGGGCAAATATAATGACATTGTATCTTGATGTCACTTTTGTGCATAATTTATACATTGTTGTGGTTTTTGATGTAACAATATACATAATTATGAACGTAAAAAGCAGATTTTTTAACAAATTTTTCATTTATTTATACCATGGTCATCACCGTTACAGAAATGTCATGAACTTGTATGACCACAAGATTCAGAATACCTTTAAAGAGATAAGTTATCGCTTGAGACTAATTGTTTATTTTTAAATGTTGCTTTAAGCAATTGAAGCTACCTCTTGAGAACCCATCTGTGCAGACAGAACAGCAACTCACCAAGAATGCTCAGAGTGAAATCCAATGTAGTTTATTCTGGCTCTGCAGGTTACAAGGATTTTTTCTGAGCATTTCTTGAAGGTGATAGAGCATTACATAATAATATGTTTTGTTACTCTATTGAGGGAATTCTTTACTTCATGAGTAAAAAAATTAAATTACTATAGAACATGGGAAAGCAGGGAGTAGCAACTAAGCTCATCTAACTAGTACAGAACAGGAGGAGGAACTTTGGAATGTACTAAGACACAAATCAAAGCAATAACCAAAAAGTGGGCTGTTAGTAGCAACACACAGTCATCTTGTATAAGCAGGGTCTCTTTATTCTATTGTTTCTTATTATTGCTACAAACAAATGTATGTAACAGTTTCTGGAACCTCTTATGTATGATTTTTTTTATTAGGTCATCAACAAGTAAGGCTAAAAACACCAATGGACTGATGTGTGATGGACAACAATTATAATATACTTATGCCCTTTTCTGTACATAAGGGTTGAATAACTAAAGGAGTAGAGAATGTTTAGTTTGCAATGTGAATTTTCAGTTATGTTAGCAAACGTGGTGAAATACCCCCAAAATACCCAATCAAGTGCAAGGAAAATAAGTAATGTTTGCATATGATTGGATGATTGATATCAGAATAAAAAGACCTAGTTGCATAAATGTGCTTTGCAAAGAGAAAAATCATTTGGCTTAGTGAATGAGGTAAAGTTGTACTGACTTACCAGCAAACCCCATTGAATTCTTCACGGGTGAATCTTAATACTAAATACTGCCCATTCCCAAGTCTAATATTGTAAGATAAAGGCATGGGGAGGTGGGAACTTCGATGAAACGAATGAAAATAAATATTTAAAAAATACCATACAGCAGGGAGAGTGTCCTTTCAATGTGACTTCCAGGGTAACATTGGGAAAACAATTATTTACATTGCATGCTTGTGAGATGTCTGTCTGTGGTGTTAGGTATCAGGAATCAGGTATCAGGAAAACCATATTCTGGCACCTCATATATTGGATGTATAATTTTTTTTTTTAACTTTTATATTTAGCTTGGCATAAACACAACAGCAGCTCCCAATCTGATTTATTTCAACCATTTTTGGTAGTTTTGGCTGCAACACCTGATTTTTTTATTCAGCATCAACAGGCCTGAATTAAATGGTGGAAATAAATAAACCTAAAGCTTTCAGCTTCTAACATACTATCCAGTAGCAAACAAGTTGAATAGTATAGTTTATGAGCTTTTTACTGGCAGTACCATATTGTGTTGTCTTAAAATGTTAATAGAATGTCAAAGCAGAGTGCACAAAAACACTTCGAGACCAAAATCCACATTCCCCAAACACCCTCCCATTCATGTATCCCCAATTTCCCCCCAAACTTTCAAAATATAAACTTCAGGTATGTGTTTGATAGAAATTGGCTAGCATTGGGACAGGAAGTAAGCACTTGAATAGTCAGCAAATAGAAAAAGACTGATTTTATCTTTAAAAAAATAGATTACATTATGGGGTCTATTCACTAAGCTGCCGCGGGATCTAGCCGTAGCTTCGGATGATCCTTCGGCTAGCTTCGGCCCCAGGACCCCTTTGGTTCAGTAGAACCGAAGGGCTGCTGTACGGCCTATTCACCATAGCCCGTACAGCTCCCGAAGTCGGCCGAGCGGCTCAGTCGAGCTGAAGGCATATGCCTCGGCTCGACTGAGCCGAGGTGAAAGCCGAAGCTGGCCGAGCGGCTGGCCGACAGCCTGCTTCTGACAGCTGGGCGGAGCCAGCCTTCACCTCACGGCTGGCTTAGGCCACTTTCAGAGAGATCAGCCTCCCTGGTTACCAGCTAACCAGGGGCGCTAACCTTAAAACACTGAGAGCGGCCTCTCCATGTTCTCAGTGTGTAATGACAGATGGCGTTCCTTGGTACATATTAACCAGGAAAGCCATCTGTCATTCCTCCACCGGGACGCTATGGGACTCTAATAGACTCCCGGCCGCCTGGGAGAGAAACAT